CGAAAAGATGTAGTTTATATGCTAGCTGTGCAATCGCATCAAAATTGTTATCATTTCAGTGAAAACCACTGACCAATCGTAGCAAACCCTGTTAGCAAAGCCACTTATTATGGCAGAGCATGGAGAGCTTTTTGAAAGCAAATTTTTGCGCTTTGTTGAACCACTTATTACTCAACTATGCCCATCACATGTACACAGACACGGATTCATCGAACACAATCGCTTCACTACAATAAATCGTTGAAGCGAAGTTCACTACGATATATTGTTACAACGAACTTCCCTGCAACGATATATCATGGCGATATATTGTTTTGCTTAGTGAGATATCGCTGCAATGAAGTCTCACTAGAACGATATCTCGGCGGGATATTGCGAAGATTGTATTGATATCTCGCCTATTTCTCGTTTCAATGTTCGCCGATCCATGTGATGTTTTGCTGATATATCGGCAATAAAACGCAAGAACAAAGCGCAATATTCTTGATTATTCTTTGCATTTCTTTTGCACAATACTGTAAGTTGGACAGCAGGACAGAATGTTTAAGCTGTTACAATGTACATCGTCATTAAAGTATGCAAACGTTTCGAACTTGCTAAATCCCTAAACAGTAAAAAGGCTGAATTTTTCCACAAAAATTTATTGTAAACATTAGGCAATATAGAAAAAGAAATGTATCCTCTGTTGCTGGTCCTTTTTGCTGTTCCGTTAAATGAACTGCAACTTAATGATAGAAGCTCTGCCATGAAAAATTTTGGTACTTCCTTAAAACACCGTTTGCATAAATTTGCTGTTTTTAGATGGCATGATGCTTTCATATTGAAAGTTCAGATTACAGGAGTTCACAATTTTGTGGATCCTTCTGAAAAGTTTTTCCTTGGTTTTGAAAACATGAACCATTCCTTTGGATCAGAAGAATTGCCAAGCAGTTATTCTTCCATTATTGGCATGCAATCAAGATGGTTGAGAAAAGTAATTAGAGGTTAGCAAATCATAGTTAATTAAAAAAACTGTCCTGGTGTCTATTTGGTACAGCTGTAACACAATTATGTTGCTATCTGGCCCACTAAGGGCCGGGCCACAAAGGACAGTAGAATGGCATAAACATCCATGATGTGTAAACAATGTTATGTCAGGATTGTCAATGGAAATCTTTGTTGTCTTCAGTGATGTCATTTGTATTGGTGCAGGTTAGTATACCAAACTGTTTTCTACTTTACCTTCTAGTTTTACATGGCCATCTTATAAAAGGTTGGAAAATCACAGTTACTTTTCATATTCAACTGAATTAAACGCAACTCTGTAACTGCAACTACACTGTACACATATCGGATATAACTTTGTCCTGACTTACTTCAAATCCTGCAATGCTTCAATTAGCCATGTTTTCTGTTCTGGTGACATCCGTGCAAAGACAGTTCCTGAGATAAGCAACTTAAGAGGAAAAATTGTAATGGTGAATGTAACAAAAATAAATAACAGGAACATGTTTAACGAGAAAATTACAACAGCCATAGCTTGTTTTCATGTGGGTCCCTTATTTGGGTTGAATTGGAATTTGAAAATGTTGGTTTTTCAACAGGGAAGAGAAATGGAACACCCAGAGAAAACCCTGGAGCAAAGTAAGATTGAACAATTATCTCAACCTATATATGGCACCAAGATGGAATAAAACATGGACCACATTGGTGAGAAGCAAGTACTCTCACTACTGCATCATAACAACCCAAGTTGTGTACCAGTTGAGGTTGATATGAGCTAATTGCTATCAAGCTTAACAAGAGGAAAGTATTGTCAAATTTAATTCAATTTATGATCTTCTGCCTAGAATTGCTTTCTTGATGTATTGAATGTATCATCATCATCATCATCATCATCATCATCATCAATCCTTATTGCCCCCAGTGGGGCATGGGGCCGCATTGAATGTATGAAGGACATATATTACATATATGTGAAGTGTAGTTGGAACATGAAATATATGAAATGACCTTCACAGTGCATATGATTTTAACAATTTGAGCAATTTTCATAGCAGAGGAATAGGTGTCAATGACAGCCACTCACCCAGGCATTACCCTTTTCAGATTTTTTATCTGCTATGTACCAAGCTAAGTAGATGTAGCTCTTGTCAAATTGGTTAGAATTATAGATTTTGAAATAAAAGCAAGTGTGCAACATTAAACATAAAAGTCCTTTTTCAACCCTAAAGCGATTGTGAGAAAAGGTAAAGCATTTTGAATGCCTTTCTTGTATTATTATTATTAGTTACTTTGGTTATTGTACATTATTTACATTTTGGTTGTGGAGCACCAGTGAACAATCACAAGCTCAGGCAAAGTCGTTTTCTTAAGCCTAGCTATCTATGCAGGACCATACTGTCATTGCATACTGTATATATTTATTATATGTAGCTGCAAACTTATGTAAATACAGTACCTTCCTAAAAAGCTCTGGCTTGCAACTTCGGATCAACGAAAATGTTCTCCCTGAAACAGCCAAATTATAACAACTTCGTCTACGTAATCTGTGATTCTTGGAAAGGAACAAAAATCAGTCAGTGACAGTTAGAACACTTCAAGGTTTCAAACCACT